GAGCACAAACACGAGTATGAGCTAGTTGGACCCAAATGGCCTGGTATTATGTCATATCACTCTACCACCACAGGACTGTGGAGTCCTGTAGCTCAGTGGTTAGAGCACTCGCTTTGCAAGCAAGAGACCTGAGTTCAATTCCAGGCAGAAGGCGAAACCTTGGGCAAGTTTCCTTACTCCACACAGAGCCTAATAATAATCCCTCCAAAACCAAAAACAGTAATAAATTGGTCATTTTCAATCTACGACTCTTTGTGGAACATTGTTGTGGCGCAATTGGCTGCCGCGTTCGCCCACAAATATACAGTCAATTCACTTTACAGTGTGTTCTGTGAAGCGCTATATCAAATGCAAGGATTATTATCAGTTGCTCCTATTTTTACTACTAGTGGGAGGCAGAGATTGACTTATCCAGAAAGTGCTGCACCTCCTAACTTAAAATAAGGAGGCATGAATATCTGAAAAAGAAATCCTGACAGTCACTGTAAAATGCTGTAGATTTCTATGATTTAACTTCTCTTTCTGTCTTTAAGTCCTACCTTAAAATCCTACTTCTCTGAAAGCGCCTATTGCCACCTCCTCTCCCTCTCTGTGTCAAACCCTGCAAAGAGCTCCAAGATATTATCCTACAAGAAGGTCCTATAATAAATACGAGTTGTTGTTGTATAGGTCTATTGACGTAAAGACAGGTAAATGGAAATGAATGGATTGCTCTTTCAAAGAGGTAGCAACTACAAGTTGCTTTTATATAGCGCCCTTCAAGCGGGGTAGTGTCCCGTAGTGCTTGTCTGTGATGGAGTCTAACCCCGAGCCAGGGGGAGAGGGATGGAGGAGGTGACTGTAAGCACCATCAAAAAGGAAGGTCTTTAGGCAGGAGGGAGGGGAAAGGCGGAGGGATTGAGGGAGAGATGTTCCAGAGTTTTGGGGCATAGTGACTCTAGGCACGGCCACCAATGCTAGAGGGGATGAGATAAAATAGGAGGCTGAAAGTAGCTGAGCGGAGGCAAGCATATCGAATTGGGAGGTAGGGAGGCGTGAGGGCATGAAGAGATTTGAAAACAAGTGAAAGGATCTTGAAATTGATCCGTTCGGTAATTGGGAGCCAATGGAGTCTGGCAAGGGCTGATGTGATGGGGATACAGAGTTTTGTGCAGGTGAGTATCCGGGCAGTGGAGTTTTGAATTAGTTGAATTTTGTGTAAGTTGGAGCTGGGGAAACCAGATTGGAGGGCATTGGAATAGTGCAGCTGGGAAGTGACGCAGGAGTGGACGAGGGTTTTGGCTGCTTTGGTTGTGAGGTGGGGACGGAGACTGACAATGTGAGCACAGACATGGTCAGCTGAATGACTTTCTTCTGCATTGTAAATTTCTGTGTTGTAGATTTCTAGAGTTCTAAGTAGATATGGTGAGCTATCATAACTACACATAATTTACTTTTGTTATTTATACTGTAGTTAATTCAATTTGCTTAATTGCAGGAGTGTTTTTCTCTCATTAAATATGTATATATGGATCCAATGGTTCAATAAGTATTTCTTCAGGTTGATTTTGTTCTTTATTATTTATGTTATGATAAAGTTGAGATGAAAAGCCAGACACCACTTTGGATTACAATTTATACATTTCTACTTCTGCAGTGAAGGAAAGCTTCACTGGAATCAACTATGTTCCCACAGACCCAAAGAACATTGTGAGTTTATAAGAGATTTTATTTAGTGTATGATCCCGATTTGCATCTGGTTTGCATTATGGAAATTATGAACGTATACTCCATTACATGTTTGTGCATTTCCCAGTATGTGCATTATTCCTCTTATTGGTAGTGAGAAAAGGAAACAATAGTTTATTAAGCAGGAGTATTGTTTTTACACAAAATTACAATGCAGCTTTCGATTGTTCCAAATGGATTCATAACACAGTACTTGCTAAATTACTTCCTGATACTGTTGCAGAAACATTGATTCTATAGTTTACTATGGTAGTGAAATGCCTTTTTAATAACTTAACAAATTGCTAAAAACGTTCCCTTTTTTACGGTCATTATATGCTTGTAATTACAGAATACATGTTAATTATCCATATGTGTTCGAGTTATTGGCTTCTACATCACAAATGACCATGACCTTAAAAATAACATTTGGCCAAAAAACCCTAGAATTCAATAAGTAATGTCTTGCATCAGCAAAGACTCAAAATTCCATCGATTTCCATTTTGTCTTAAAATTTAAGATCAGACAGAATTGTGGAAGATTCTCAAAATTCAGTGTTAATTTGGAAGCTGTTTCTTCTTCGGAACTGGAGAGGGTAAAAAAAAGTACATGGGAGTTGAATTCATACCTTAAATGGACTTTATTAATAGTATTTTTTGAAAGCAGTGTACTTGTACTCCTGAAATTGAATGTGCTTCTCATGCCATATGCACCATCTTTAATGATGGCAGGCTCATGTGCTGTACAGATGTTGCAATCGGCCAGCACGCATACAGGTGCACTGTCACAAACACTTGAGGGGCTGTGGTACCTTTAAGAGGCCAATTCAACACAATTATACAAAAACAATTCACACATTCCCAAAACCTCTTTCCAGCAGCAGCTTAATGTTAGACTCATGTGGTGTAGGATTGGACAAGTAAAACCAGAGCAGCTGTTCATATCAGATATGTGCAATACTCCCAAACCTCATAAGAGTGCAGAAAGAGATTGAGAACTGAGGGCCCCAAAGAAAGTGAAGAAAACATCATTGTACATTCCGCAATATTCTCATTGAACCATTTGAAACAAGTGTGGGCCCAGTTCTCATTATATATCCTCCAAGCAGCAAACAATGAGAGTTTAAACTATAAATAGGGAGTTACCAGGTAAGGGACTATGCAGAAATTTAACTTCACTTTACCTTATTATCTGAAAAGAGAAAGATCAAAGGAAATGTATGAAGCCATACCAAGTCAGAAATTTACCACTGTTGAGGTTGATATCATGATTGTTCTACTTGAATTACTGCAAAGAGTGCTAGGTCTGTTGTAGCTCCATTCTCAGGACTATGTTTAGCAGAGCACAAAATTAGCAAGTTAAACCAAGCTACTTTTCATTAATCATTACTGGAGGTACAAGATTCAGGGATTATTCTTTGGTGGAAAGGTACCTGAAAACCTTATTGACTGGACCTTTTGTCAGTCTTAGTAACTTAGAACTGGCAGATGCTACAAAATAGAATAGCTTAAAATAACTTTTTGATCAGTTGCAGTTTTGTTTACAAAGCTGATAAGCAGCAATGTGCAGAAGTAATTTTATTTAGTAACCAGTAATGATCTGTCATGCCACAGTGACTCAGAATTCTCCAAGACAAATATTTGTCAAAAGTTTTATCACAATAAATATGTGCAACTTTTGATAACCTGGTCATTGAATGCATGAAGTCTGAAGGTCGTTGAATTTTAAGGCACAAGTCTTACGACTAACATCATTAAAAATTTGGGGTCTCTGGTGGTGAACTCAGCCTTGCGCAATAACAAATGCAAAATAAGACAGTCACAATTTTGTATAGTAGTTCCTGAGAAGTGACATGTTGGTACAAATTCCACATGGCTTTAGATTTAGTCTATTGAGGTAGCATTTAATAGTGTGCAGAATTTGGCAAATTCTAACTTACAGTGTTTAACATTTTCAGTAGGTCTTAAAAGAATTGATGCAAAACACTTCAAAATTAAACTGGCTCCACGTTGCCATGTTTGACAACGGAATGTTGGAATCGAGTAAACCCTCCGTAGTCATCTCAACAGTCTGGTTGTTTGAGCGATGTGGGTCCACAATACTGTAGGGCATTTCTGATGACAGGCCAGCCAACCTGGCTTATCACCATGATTTGGGGGTGCAGACCAGTCACCGGGAGTATGGATTATTTCCACCCAGCGCTCGATAATCCTGCAAGACAAAGTCGGATTGGACAGTATGGCCCTAGATGGATAAGCAGTGGGAAGTTTGCCAGACAGTGCTCTCAATGACAAGAGGTGCAATTTTGGTTGGCAGCAGTACAATCTGGCATTCCCAATCCCTCTCCTTTGCCAACATGTGCCTAATTCTCTTGGGATTAGGTACGCTGGGTGTATTTCCTCCACACACAGGTACATTTCAATGTGTAAGTGGCATACACACGTGGACCTCTCTGTGGTATGGGTACTTAATTATTATTGTTATTAATACCAATTAATACTCACATTTGATATACAGTAGCAACCTTTCACGTCAGGATATCTCAAAGCGCGCTTCCTAGCATTTACTGTAGATTGTAGTTACTATGCATTTTGTAGTGAATATGTCAGCCATTGTGTGCACAGCAATTTCCCACAAACAACCATGAGGTTAATGATCATTTTTTTTTTATCTGGGGATTTTTAGCCAAAACATCGAAAGTGCCATGGGTCTTTAATGTCTACCTGAAGCCCCTAATTATGACCTTGGTTAAAGCGTCTCATCTGAGTTACGGCATTTCCGATTGTGCAACACTCCGCAACACCGCACTGAAATATGTCAGCCTGGACTGAGTTCAAAATTCCTGGTGGTGGTGGTGGTGGGGTTGAACTCACAACCTTTCAACCCTGAGGGAAGAGTGCTACCAACTGAACCGAGCTGATACCTGAGAATCCCAAAACATACACACAGGCAGCTGATGAAACAAGTTCACAAATGTTAAGCATTGGGGAGGGGGTGGGGTGGGGGGGGGGTTCCTCTTGTGTCAGCCCAGCTGACAAAATATAAATAAACTTGACTAATTCTGGATGCTCTGAAGTGCTGCTTTAATGGAATAGGCACAGGTGCAATTTCTACCCACAAGTTTGCATAGCCCTACACACACACACACACACATACACACACACACACACACATACACACACACACACATACATACAACATGTTACGATGGGAAAGCAAACGGTCACCAGATCACAAGAGCTTTAACCGATAGCAATTCCTGTGTAGGTGGCGGTGCATTCACTTTCCATTAGCGATGCTCAGCCACTGCGTGTCCAGCAGGACCTGATGTCGAGCTGAACCGATCTTGCTGCAGGTACAGTGCGGACTCGGCTTCTGTCCGCTCCAGTCCCAGTCTGCTCCACTGGGGCTGCGCAGCGCAGTGTGTGTGTGTGTGTGTATGTGTGTGTGTGTGTAGTAGCTGTCAACGAGGAGCCAGACAGCCACAGACTGAGCCAGTGCGGTGCTTGTGTGTCCCGTTGCTGTGAAGTTTGCGGGTTGCTCAGAGCGAGGAGGTGGGGGGTGAGCAGCAGGTGCGGGCTGGACAGACAGGTGAGTGGTCAGTGCCTCCTGAGCGCTGCTGAGAGAGGCAGTAACCCCCCACCCACCCTCTCCCCCCACCCCCACCCACCCTCTCCCCCCACCCCCACCCACCCTCTCCCCCACCCCACCCACCCTCTCCCCCCACCCCGGGGGCACCAACCCTCCAGGGCTCCCCGTCCCTTCACTTAGACCAGAGCAGCGTCCAGCCTTTAAATACACTGCCGCACAGTACACACATATATATATATATACATAGAGAGAGAGAGAGAGAGTACTTTGCAAAAGCACTTTACATTGATACCGAAAGTGTAAAAGGCAATGAATTGATCTGGTGCTGCAGGAAGTTAGGTTTGGCTGCAGAGCAACAGTGGGCAAGAGAGGGAGAGAGGAGCAAATGGTGCAGACTTGCTCTCTGCTGCTCTTTTCGTTCGCAAAGGAGGGCTGTGAAAGCGGACAGGGTGGGAGGTTTGGTGTGAAATCGGATCAGCAACACCGGCTTTGTTAGGACAGAGTAAGAGAGAGGAGAGAGAAAGGGCTTGTGGCTGCAGGAAGTCTGCCTCTCCCTCCCCATTACAAGCAGCAGCGACGTGAAGGGGAATAGACTGATGTCAAGTGACTGCACATAACCAGCAGCACAATGACTCCTGATATTTCTGGTTCCTTGTTGCGAAAGACCGGTTGCTGGTTTTGAGTTCAAATGGTTAACACTGGCTTCTCAGTGTTGTTAAATAAGCTGTTAAATACTAAAACTGCTTTTGCTTTTTTTTACACACACGCACGCACGCAATAATAATCCTTGCATTTCGCGTAGTGCCTTGTCGCGTTGTTTGAGACGCCTCAAAAGCGCTTCACGGAATGTACTGTAAAGTGAATTGACCGTATCTTTTGTGGGGCGAAACGCGGCAGCCCATTGAGCACAGCAGTGTCCCACAAACAGTCGTGGGTTGACTGACCACATTTTATACAGGTATTACTTTAGCCGATCTGCCATAACGTTTTGTTCATATTAGTTTGAATTGTTCTGGAAACCTTAAGGATACTCGAACAGAGTTTTCATCGAAATTGACTGTGAGATCTGTATCGTTTGTAACTCTTTGTGGTGTGATTGTCTTGATTGGTACCACGATTGGGTTAGATTATTGTGGGTTCAAGTCCTGCGTTAGATCTCGAGGATAATACTCCATTACAGTACAAAGGAATGCTGTTGAGAGAAGTGTTTAGATGAGACGCTAAACGGATGTCACATTTGCCTTTTCAGGCAATTATTAAACAAAAATTTGGCCACTCGGGTGTCTGAGACACGTGTGGAAACCCATTACCATGCTTAAGAGTATCCAAAGCAAACTGAGAATTCCACATATGTATGTACATCCCCTACACATGGAAATTTCCCCATGTCTCGAATGAAACTTGCACGCTCACACTGTTTAGCTAATTCTGAATAGAATTAGGTGCTGATTAGCAAGAGTTTGGTTTGGAGACCCCGGAGTGTTGCACAGTTTGGCATACTTCCTGCTGCTTGTCCAGCTAGGATGCCCCTAGCTTGAGGGCATTGGCTTGTGAGGTTATCAGGAGCTGAGCGACAAGAATCTTCTATCTCAGTGACTGGTGTGCACTTCTGAGTCCTGCCAGTGAGCTTGGCTGCCTGGTCTGCAATCAGCAATGCCCGGTAGTACTGTGGACCTGTCTATCCCCGAATCGGACGACTGATACCATCACCGAGGGTTGACTTGATTCTGATATTCCATTGTCAGCATGTCACCTTAGAGCCAGAAGGAGACTCCCCCAGTTTTCTCTCTGGATTATTGCTTGCTGCCACCACTATCTCTGCCTCAGATTGATGAGACCCTTATCCCAAACCATCATTTTATCCAGGCTCAATTATTCCAATACTCTGATTGACTTATTTCTCCATGCACAAACTACAGACCATTCCAGAACTCAGCATATGCCCCTCCTTTTTCAATCCAGGCTCCAGGAGCCCATCACCCCCAAACTCGACTCCACTAACTCCCCAATCTCTAGTGGATGTAATTCCAAATATTCATCCATAACTTTAAAATTCCTTCATGCCCTTAACCCACTCCATGTCTGGGACATCTTATGACTGACCTAGCTGGTCCTCCCCACTCAACAAAATCAGGAATTAACAGCATTGCCTTTGGTAGCTGGGGAATGACGAGGGGCAAAGGGTATGGGTAAGAAGGGGACCCAAGCAATTTGATTCTCATTTGTGATAAGAAATATTCTGAATTGAAATAAATGAAACCCATCTTTTTGGGAGGTTCATTTCATTCAGTTTAACTAAATATGAAGTTTCTGCTACTGTAATATGATCACTGTTACCATTGAAGAATTTCCAGTGCTACTAAAGCAGATCTATTGCCAATGATTTGCCTTCACGCTTCCTTCATAGCGGTGCTTTTTGTATTAAATGTCATTCATGCAAATATTGTATTTTAAACTAAATGCAAATTATACCACAATTTGTACACGGCATTGTCACACAAACAGCCAGTTTTATCAAGGAAATTGTTTGCCATGATATCTTTACAAATTTGCAAACTGCATTCCCTTTTGAATAGTGGCATGGGATCATTAATATTCACTTGAGCAGGTAGATGGGACGAATGCAGTGCTGTAGGTGTGCTACATTTTGTAGGTGCTATTCTTCTGATGAGACATTATACCGAGGTCCCGTCTGCCTATTCAGATAGATGTTAATCATCCTAGCACTATTCGAAAAGGGAGTTTCACCTGGTATCCAGGCCAACAATTTGGTCACTCACTTCATGGATGTTTGTTGGACATTAGAGCTCAGTGCTCTCAGGGGCAAGCTATTACGGTTTTAGGTGGTTAAACTTCAGCAGTACTCCAATTCATACTCCTTCCCATTTGTTGGCCCTTACCACGTCTAATACTCTCCAGATTGGGTAAGCAGTCTGACATGGAGAGAGTATGCGTTCCATTCACTGACAAAATATACAGTTCATTCACTTACAGTATGTTCTGTGAAGCGCTTTGAGAAGTCTCAATATGATAAGGCGCTGTATCAAATGCAAGGATTATTATTATTCCACACATAGAAAAGTATCCATGTTTAGATGGCATAGACATATGTTGAACTCTTAGTCTGGTTTGAATACTCGTAATCATACTGATTCCTGCATTTGTTAGTCACAGGGATGACTAAAACTTTTTTTTACCATCACAATTCATTCATTAATAATTCAATACTTGCACTCAAATTTGTTTAATTTTGCAAATCCCTTGTTTATTCCTATGAATTAAGCTTTAGTAACTTTTTTCAAGTTACTAGTGTATTTTAAAGCTTTCTTTTTTAGATTAGGAAACCTGTATTAATGTATTGAATCATTTTTTGTTTCAGGTCCTATCGTAGTGGGCCTTTGGTTTGCTGGTAGGAGTTGAAAAGGATCGAGGGGACGAAATGAACACAGACCCTATTCTTGAAGAGACTTTGATTAAAAGATCTCAACAGAAGAAACGGACTTCTCCACTCAACTACAAAGAAAGGGTGTTTGTTTTAACAAAGTCAAGATTAACATATTATGAAGGTCGCCCTGAGGTAAGGTTGATTATTAACGATTTGAAAATTTATGTAAATTTAGTTTGTCATCCAGTTAAGTTCACAAAAGTAAGGTTGATTTTTTTTTAGATAGAAAATGAATCCTCGATTGTTCAGTGTTTTAAGACAGTTGTGTAAAAGATTTTTTTAAATTCAGAGGGCTAGAGGGCGTTTTTTTTGCTGATAAAACATGACTGGATTTCCTGTCAAACTGTGTCTGTTAATCTCGGTTTAGGGCAATTCATACAACTTCTTCATTGAAGCAATTAATTGTTATGGATATAAGTTAATAGAGTATTTAAATGTATCATAAAGTTATTATTCATTCTAACCATTTATAGCCTTTGTGAAGTTTCAATTTATTGTAAAATAGAACCATTAGGAGCAAGTAAGAGAGAGAGAATATAAAAATTATTTATACTCGGTTTACTGTCAGTCGCACCTCGAAAGTCAATGACAAACTATGTATTTAAAGAAAGTAACTGTTATACCCTCAGAGGTAACTCACACAGCACTAAAATTGCTATTTTCAACCCAGTATTGCTTCTGTTGGCAATGCAATCATCTTATAGGGAAAAACAGCCTTTGTTGTGTGAGGCAGGCTTAGTTAATGGAAAACAAACAATGCTACTCCAGTATCTCGACTGGAGCATCTCTTTGGCTACTCCAGGAACTCGGTGTCTAAATGCACAGCATGGTGTGGTTTTGAGCTGTACATAGAAGAATAATCAGTTTTAGGTTAGCTAATCTCAGACGGGGGAACTTTTGTAGTGTTTGTACTCAGGGACCCTCCGTTATGGAAGGAAGAAAGCAAGCAAACTGGTTTTGTTCCTACTGGCCTTACCTTTTTGTTCCTACCTTCCTCTGCCACCAAGGAAATGCCAACCTAAGCAGAACAGATATTGTTTATTACTTTCAAAACTAACTGCAAGCAGAAGCTTCTGTGGGTGAATGGAAGTAAAATTACAATGGTTTCCACAAGAGTAGAAACTGATTAAATGTTTCCTAATTGTAAAATTAGTTTTGCCTTTAATTTAGACTTGCTTTGGAGTCTCCTAACAAATACTTTAAATGAATATTGTTTAAAAATGGTGGTGGGGAGAGTAAAAGATAATGCAAGATACTGTATTTTGTGTTCTAAGTATGAACGCCAACATGCTTTCTGAAATGAAAATGGAAGTATTTGGAAAAATTCTAATGTAGTCCAGTCTGGATGCATTGACCTCTTTTGGAAAATGAGACCACATATATGCAGTTTGACTCTTTGTGATTATGTAGTCTGGTCTGCATTGTTACGATCCAATTTTGGAAGGATTGTACCCAAAAAGGCACATCTATATCTTGGATGTGCTAGTATGTCTTTTTATGTGAATGAAAATAGTTAAAAACAAAAAGACAATGTGAAAGAAGAGAAACAGAATCAAACAAAGGCTTTATTTGGTAATTTAAAAAAAAAAATCGGTGAGTTAAGGTTAATTACAGTTATCAATCATATTTATTTGATTTATAACACAGAGAATTATCTGTAAAGCAGTTACTCCTCCAACACCAAATGCAAGGAGATGCTGAATTTCCACGAAACCAAAGTTGAGAGGATCCGCTCAGCTGCCTCTGCTCTTCCGACCAATACCCCCTCCCCATCTCCCCCTCACACCCCAGCCCCTACCCATCCCTCCCTCTACACCTTCGAACCTGTCTCCCACTTCTTTCTCACCACCACTGTAACCCCATGAAACCGACCATCTGCTCTCTCAACCCCATCCCTACCCCTCTCCTTAGCTCCCAGCTCCACCTCCTTGCCCCTCTACTCACAGACATCATAAACCTCTCCCTGTCCCCTGGCACCATTCCCACCCATCTAAAAATGGCCATCATCACTCCTTTCCTTAAAAAAAAACCTTCCTGGACCCATCCCTGCTCTCAAACTACCACCCTATCTCCAACCTCTCTTTCCTTCCTAAGGGCCTGCTTCTCAGCTTTGCTAAGGTTGCTTCCCAGCTTTGCTCTTTCCTCTCCCTCCCCCACCCCACACTTCACGAACCCCTCCAATCGGGTTTCTGTGCCGCCCACAGCACAGAAACAGCCCTGGTCAAAGTGGCAAATGACATTCTGTCCATCTGCGCCCAGGGCTCCATCTGCCTCCTTATCCTCCTTGATCTCTCTGCTGCCTTTGATACCGTTGACCACTCTATCCTCCTCCACCACCTCTCCTCTCACTTCAAGTTTTATTATTCTGTCCTTGAATGGTTCAGATTGTACCTCTCACATTGTCTCCACTTCATCTCCACAAACGGCTTCTCCTCTAGCCCCCGCATTGTCTCGTGTGGCGTTCCTCAGAACTCTGTCTTTGATCCCCTCCTCTTCAATATCTATATGCGCCATCTTGGTGACATCATCCGCAGACATGGGGTCAATACAAGATCCTGGTCCTCACCTTGAAAGCCCTCCATGACCTTGCTCCCTCCTACCTCTACAACCTTCTAAACCCCTACCAAATTGCCCACTCCCTCTGCTCAGCGAGCTCCGGCCTGCTTCACGTCCCCCACCTCGCCTGCCCCACCATTGGCAGGCAGGCCCTCAGCCACTCTGCCCCTACCCTCTGGAACTCCATCCCACAGTCCATCCACCTTGCCTCCTCCCTTGCCTCCTTTAAGAACTGTCTCAAGACCCTCCTCTTGACTGTGCCTTTGGTCACCCTCTTTCCGCCCCTGCTCTCCACCCTCCCCGATCCTGACCCCCAGCACGGGTCTGAAACACTGATATGCTTTGGGACGTGCTCCCGACATGAAAGGCATTAAAGAAATGTAATGTTGTTGTTGTTACTGGGTCTTTCTTGATGGCAAATGTATTGTATGATGGAAAAACAGAGGGACCAAGATAGGTCCAGAAGTGTTCCCTGAACTGTGCTGAAGTTGCTGATCTCATAGCTGAGGAAAGTGGCATAACATTTGTCTCAGTATTCCTTCATAGATAGGTTAACATTTGTGTCCAATACTTCATCAGAATTGAAATGGAGGGGGCTGGAAGAGCCTTTGTATAGGAATGAAGGTAGTTTGAAGGCAAACATTAGGAAGAAGTAAAAAAAATTATATAATCTACATAAGGAAGCAGATAATGGATAAATAAATTTTAAAAGGCTGGAAGAATTATTAAAATTCTGAAACTTAAATTGTTAATGTTGTGCTCTACAAAAGTGTAATTTTATATTTTCGTCAGATGTGGAGGCATTGGGAGGTGAACTGAATTTTGCTCTACTATGTTGACTTTTCATGAAAAGAGAGATGCTTTTACTGATGTCCACAGTGCACATCATACAGATAAAACCAAGGACACCTGTCAAACTTTGCAGGTATTTTGCAGCAAAGATTAGCTTAACTTCATTGCATAATCCTGATGTATTTCTTTGTGTTAAGCTTTGGCTGCTTACAGAAGCATTCCACTGGGATAGATCTCATTCTATTTACACGTTGGTCCAGTGGATTCAACACAACATTTTCTCTTGATGTTATTTTCTTTCATTATAAGTTTAACTACAGGTCAAGATAATGACTGCACTATTATTGCTGCAGATTGGACTTAACGTTGAATCACAAAGGATTCTACCCATACTGTCCGACACTAATTTTATCATAATTCACTTTTATGTGAAGGTTCAATGAATAAATTCTCGGCTGGAGCATCACTTTGGCTACTCCAGGAACTCAGTGTCTAAATGCACAGTATGGTGTGGTTTTGAGCTGTACGTAAAAGAATAAGCTGTTTTGGGTTACCTAATCTCAGACATGATAAACCTTTGGAGTGTTTGTGCTCAGGGTCCCTTTGTTATGGAAGGAGAGAAACAAACCATCCAGGATTCCTGCTGCTCATCTCTATTTGCTGATCTATGGTGCAAAGTACATGTACTGTATGTGAAGTGAGACAAAATCAATCTAAGCTCCAAGGTCGAACAGCCTGCCAACATTCACTAATCTAGCTCTCGCATGAAGCATGGCAACTTGGGGAAAGTATTGAAAAGCTGCTGGGGAACTGGACACTTGTACTCCAGCTGGCTATCTTCAGGAAAGAGGGGAGAAAGTGGAAGGAAATTAGAAGGGAGAATTCTCCTTAGTTTGTTGTCTGACTCAAAGTTGGACTATTTTTGTTTTCGTAACTTCCTCATCATATCAGATGCCGCTCAGTCTCTTTTCTCAGAAGAATTGAAATCTGCTCCTGGTTACAAGGACAAAAGAGGAACAGGGCAAGAAGGGAAGAACACATGACAGTTGTATCACAGTAAGAAACCGTGCTCTTAAAGGGACACTCACCCAATGCTTTCCTCTCAATTTCGATATCTATTAATAGTTTCTGTTTAGAGATTCTATTCAAAGAGACAAACTGCACGTAAGGTAGTTATGCTAATATTTTATCCGACAGGACTTTAATAATAATCCTTGCATTTGATATAGCGCTTTTCACGTCGGGAGGATGTCCCAAAGTGCTTCACAGAACACACTGTAAAGTGAATTGACTGTATGTTTGTGGGCGAACGCGGCAGCCAATTGCGCACAGCAATGTCCCACAAACAGTCGGAGATTGAAAATGACCAATTTATTATTGTTTTTGGTTTTGGAGGGATTATTATTAGGCGTGTGGAGTAAGGAAACTTGCCCAAGGTTTCGCCCTGCCTGGAATTGAACTCGGGTCTCTCACTTGCAAAGCGAGTGCTCTAACCACTGAGCTACAGGACTCCATTAATGCTTAATATAGCCTCTTGTTTTCACAGTGCTTCACCAAAAGCATCAAATTAAATTGTCTTGAAAAACAATACAATACAAATTACATTTGTAAAGTGTCTTTCACGTCGGGAGGACATCCCAAGATGCTGAACAGTCATAGATTAGGACCCAAGCGTGAGGTGATCAGGAAGGGTGGAGGGCAGAGAGGGTAGGAGGGTTGCTGAAGAGAAGGTCAAAGAGAAGGGTCTTGAGGCATTCCTTGAAGGAGACAAGGGAGTGAGCGAG